TCGCCAAAACTACTACACATAAAACCAACTGCCCAAAATATAGTTAAGCTTGCTCCTAGTGTGTGATGCTAAGAACATGAAGAGCAACTAAGTTATTCGATTGAAATCATGTAAAAAAAATCCAAATTTCACAACTTTCCCCCTTTAAATTAAAAAGGCAGAAACGCAAAGAACTCTCTAAAAGGCCAAAGACAGATCGAAGATATTGCACAATGAGGGGATAGAGAGAAGTGAGACAGAGAGAAATAGAGAGAAGAGTGGAGGGAAAAGACAATATCATTCTTCCATTTTCTCGATGATGTTTCGCTTCAGGATTGTCACAAGTGGATATATTGGGCACCAGCGATCACATATATCCATGTTACCGATCGCAAATAAGTAGGTGTGTAATTATGATCACTATTTACACGTCACATGAGGATGTACTGATTCTGCACAGCCCGCGTGGCCACACTAGCAGCCACCGACGCGACATCCGAGCAGACAGTATTGATGCTGGCGCGAACGGAGCCACGACAGAAAACAAGACGCGGCCACTGAGGACCGCATAGACGGCCAGAATTAGCCGCACGACGCGTGTTCACCACATAGGCTGAAAGTGTGACGGGCGGAGGGGCCGCATCAACAGTGGGTTTCGCGTCGCCCGCTGAGGAGGAATGCGGTAGTGGAGGTGGGTGTTGCTGTTGCTGCTGCTGTTGCTGAGAAGTGGAGGACGGGGGGTGTTCAAGGGGGATAGGTTCCTGATGAAAGTGTTCCAACATCTCGCAGATGGAGGCAAAAGGAAGGTGCTGAACTTGGCATTGACCATCGGGACTGAGAGTCATTCGCAGGTGCTATAGAAGACAAAAATCAAGCAAGTTGAACACTGCAGACCTACTTTGTCCTTTAGCATTTTATGCCTGACAAGCAGCCGAGAGTTCTAACGTTCTGCAAAGTGGATCGTACTTCGTTTTCCACGAACACGATTTTAGATCTGCAAATTTACCATTTCTATTGCCTGTGGATTTTCAACGCTGAGCGACAAAGTGCAAGATATTTAAAATCATAGAGTGGGTACTAAGAAGCACACCAATAAATAAACAAAGACCTGAGGAAAGGGAAAAACGATTTGACGTGAATAGAATCGTGTCCAATCCTTTTTATCCCACTGGTTATCAACAAAGCAACGTGTTATCGTAAATGAGAAACATACCACCTTTTCATTTAAAAATATTGCAAAATTTAAACCAAGATCTCTTCCAAGTTTGACGATGGCTGACATTGGAGGACTTAAGGGAACAACATTTTCACCAAGAGCATTAAAGTAATAACACTCTCGATTCCTTGCCTACCTAATCCCACATCAGGTAGCAGTGAAAGAGAAACAAATGAGATGCAAAACATCTGGACTGAAATGGTGGTAACAAACGTGCTGACAATATGATGGTAAACAAAAAGTCCTCTTATTATTACGAAACGATGAGGAGGGAAGAAAACATTATAACCAATCGTGAAATGACATGCTATGCAACAGCATTTTCTGTCTGACAAGTCGATTGCCCTTGAAGTTGGCACAAGGGTTGCTCCAAATCGTGAAGATCGAACCGGAGAGGAGAGTCCTACCGTTATCCTGAGAATACTGTCTAGGCGGATTTAACATTTGAAATATACTCCTATTAAGAGCGTTGTCATATAGGTGAAGACTGGTGCTGATGCGAGATAGACACTAACTGAGCATCAGATAGACGACTCTAGTTACGGTTACCAGAAAGAGAGTTTGTAACTAATCTGCGAATTAAAATAAAAGAAATCCTGTTCGAATTTAACAGACAAACTGTGATACTTGAAGAGAGAAAACTCATCACTAGCATTACAGTACTGTAAAATGTTCAATATTTTCAACAAGTTAGCAGAAAACCGATGTCTGCCTGAAAGTTATTTTTTGAAGCCTTTCTCATTCTATGCCATGCTTCTGAAAAGCCTGAGGGACGACTGACAGGATCACGAAACCATCAGTGCGTTAAATCATCGTGTAATGCTACCCCTATCGGTTCATCAAATCGTTTCTTAAATCGCGACATGAATGGGAACGTCCCACCAAGCGCAACTATTGCCCCAATTTTTCCAAGTTAAGTCAGGATAGTGAGAAAAAATCAGTTAAATAGTTGAAAGTGAGCTCTATACACACTTCTGTAATGGGCAATCCTCTGATCTAACAATGAAAGGCTAGTGGAACAAGGGGACACCGAATGAGGAAGTTCAATCCCTTCCACAAACTCTACACAGAGGAAAGGAGTTCTCTGTGAACGGCCAAATCTTTGAGAGGTCAATACAACCCTGTGTTGGCGATTCTTAAATCCTCATTGTAAGAGGAGGCAGCGTAAAATCCAGCGGTAATTTTCAGCCCACGTTTCGCTGTGGAACACTTAATGTGGCCCACAATGATCAACAGTTAACAACGGCGATAAACAAACGGAGTGATTGGTGTGAGGCGATGCTACAACTAGCTGGTGAAGAAAGACACAATAGATCAACGGTTTGAGATATTATACGTCGAATTTATAGCTGAGTCAAGAAGTCACTGATACGTTGAGACAAATGATTAAGTAATCTCAAAGAAAAGTTAGCCGCCACAGCTGATTCCACCTAGAGATCAACGCTAAACAAACGAAAACAATGATTATTTCTAGATCAAAGACATCCTATATGCAGTTTGTTACTACAAATGCAACTAATGCGTGATGCAACCGACTGCCATAGGTTGACGGTGAACACATGGCACACATGTGATAAATGGCAACGCAGAATTTTTGACTGCGAAACCGACGAAAATTGAGAATCAAGTAGGCACTACGCTGAAGCATAAAAACCCTTAAAATGCGCAAAAACATGAGATTTGGGAGTACAAACGACAAGAGGGCCCTAACAATCCTGTGTTATGTGCCATGGGTGTGCAAGGCAATATCAAGCCCGAATCGCTTAACTAACCAATCATTCGGCTGCATGTACGCACGCACACACACACCCACACACGCAGCCCATATGACCTCGAGGTGACGCGTGCCAACCAATCAGCAGGCTAGTGGACACTGTCAGCTGATAGACCCACACACAACCTGGCAAGCGGACGGGCGGTGCGCGGCCGAGAGAGACCAACAACAACATGGAGACAGGAATGTGTGCGCGCACGCACGCACAGAAAACAAGGGGGAAATGGAGGAGGAGGATGCCAAAAGGCGAGTTAGCGAGCCAACGCACAGGCACGCCAGAGCAAAGAGAAATTATGGTAATGCCGAGACGGAACTAGAGCGACTTCCCATTTCTTTTGGCGCATGCATGTGCGTGTATGTCGATGCCAAAACTTAACGTGCATGTGTCGTTGTCGGTGCCACCACCATAGGTCTTGTGGCCTGTTTGCAGGAATACTAAATGCATTTCTACACTTCGCAAGGCGATAAATTGTCATCCTTTCACAAATCCTTCAGAATATCTTGGTAACAGAAATATTGAGGCTAGATAAGCCGCGACGAGGTTTATCTTCAATTTCTTCAGCCCATTGTCTCGTCCTGTTTCTTCCGTATTCCATTCTACAGGAGGTCACAACCGTAAGGAGTCGGACATTTAGGACACAACCATTACTCGCCCAAATTAGTTTTCGATAAATAAATAGCACAATTTCTGAGGAGTTTCAGGGAACAAAAGTTTTATTTCTACCTCACTTATTTGTACCCATTAAGAATCACTTCAACCAAGGATCACTTTGTGAAGCAGTTAGAAGACCACCAATTATGCAAACACCCTACCATTGAGAAGCGTTACTTTTGTTGACATCAGAGTAAAGTTTGGATGACTTCAAGTTAGGCAAACATGGGATGATTTAGTAATTTCGCCTGTACAATTTCTTCCTGATGTCTTATATCTGGGAAAGGACGGCAATCTTGATCTATTCAAATGAATGATGACTCGACTTTCCAAATGCGATGCAACATCAACCACCTTCAGGAGGGGTTTCAGCAAACTCCGCTTCTTCTGTCCTCGCTTTCGCGATTTGTGGGAAAAATGAGAGATAAACTATCAATGACCGCCAAAATTAGCTAGCGAAAAGGTCTAAGACAAAATGTGTGTTTTACGCCCGTTGGAAGAAAGGGTAAAACAGAGTAACTCACTTTTGCCTTTCCATGACAACTAAACGTGAGCACAAACTCTCCGACCCGAGTTTCACTCTGTCGCACCAGAAACACCCCATCCGATAAGCCAGCAGCAGCCGCAGCGTTTGAGGCGCTGTTTGCTGTGGATCCTTGCTGAGGATTTCGCGTCGGAGCAGAGGGAAATGGCGGTGGCGAACCTCCATCCGCCCCACCCACGTCCACTTCCGCCGGCTGGCCGAGAACAAAGGCGGTGGCAGCAACGCGGGACAGAGTGCCGTGGTACCAAGGGTAATTGGCTAGCAGCTTATCGCATACAAATGGGTTGTTGTCGGTGTTGGTCTCGGAGGTGGTTGTGGTAGCGACAGGAGCAAGAACAGGGACGGAGGGGGATGTATGCTCTGACGGAGCGATGCGGTGGAAAGCAGCAGGTGGACGGGAGGGAAGCGGACACACGAGTGCTGGGAGAGAGGAGCAAAGAAGCCAATTAATAAGCACTAGCACATCGAAAATACCAAAGCTGGATTATTTAACTTACTACCAGCGCCCTGAGAATTGAAGGGTTGATGGGAGGAGATCTGTTTAGGAACGGCGGAAGAATTGGACTGCTGCTGTTGCGGTTGGGAATGGTGGTGGAGGTGGTGATGGTGATGAAGATTTGTGGCAGCGGCTGTATGATCAATTAGTGCGCCAGCGGAAGAGGTGATTGAGTGCTGGTGTCCAAGTTCATCTCCTGAGGTTAGTATCTTCGACTTGGAAGCGGATCTGGAATTGAAATAAAGGTCACCCAATTCTGACGTCCATCTCCACTACTTCTATGTCACTATGATAAAAATAAAACCTTAAAATCAGTGAGTTATTGGTAAACTGAGGAATCTAACCGAAATGTGCCTTGTTTTTTGAAATTTTAACGCGTACATTAAAGGCGAGAAGAGGCACAGTAGTAAATTGTATATAAAATTTAAACATAAACAACTGAGGACACAAGCAAATGAGAATGCTTTTTATGGAGGTAAAAACCCTCTTGGTGTACAGCTTTAAGTAAGACATCCAATAAAGGCCAGAGTAGTAGTGTGGTAAAAACAGCGCGATTAAAGGATCGGACCCGCAATAAAGCAATAAACAGAACCCTGAAGCTGACTAGCAGACAAATAGAAGTTTCGGGTATCCCTTTCCTGATGGTAGTGCTGAGTTCGGTCAAGTGTATCAGGTAGAAGCCTAGGCAACTGTTAGAACAGCAAAAGTGAAATTATCAACAGATTACACCAGATGGACACCTGAAAGCAGGCAACAGAGCATAATCAAAAGTGCTGAAACTTTTTAGGCAACCACACAAGGTTTTAAGGACTTCAAATGAATTCGTGCATTGAAACAATGCTCACATAGTGAAGCGACATTTGTTCATTTCAAAAAAAATCTAAAAATTGGAGCTAGAAACTTTCAGATCACCTACCTCATGGCTGAAAGGCAACGCATAGGGAAGCTTGCTACACAAGCCTTACACCAAGCCGGAGGGTTCCGAGCCAGCCTAATAGATAACTTGGTACGTACCCAAAGCCTGGTTAAATTACCTTAAGCTTTAACCTTATTCTTCTCCGACGGCTCAGCATAGGAGCTAGTAAACTGACATTACAAAGAATGAGATTATTGTTATAAAGAGCAAGGGAGCACATGCTCGAATTTAAAGCTAGTGTACATGCTCACACGGACGCACACGAGGCGCAACGGAACTTCCATAAAAAGCCAGACTGGACTAACGGTACCATCAGAAGTAACAGCAACAACAAAGGGGTAATTAACTTTCCCAAAGAGCTCAACAGCCGCCGCCAACTCTGCTACTTGATTCTACTATTAAATTCGTCAAAGCAAAACAGAGTGTTGCCTGCAAAAGGGAACGTAGGGATTGAATCAAGAAAGTCTTGAAGATTCAAAAATATTTTGAGTATTACATGGATTGATTTGGATACCTGTCCAATCTCGATAAAACCACCAAATTTTGTTTCAAAACTCCTTCAAGGAGATCACGAATAAGCCAGACTTATGAAAGGCCTGGCTGAGAAGTGGTGACAACCTGGAGGCTGAACTAACTGGATTATTTTGAATACGGAGCACGGATTTTCGCTTTGGCCAAAAAGACGTGAAAACACCCTCAAAGACGACGTAGGAAATCAGCTCTTGATCGATTGCTCCTCATGCTGTTGTGATCGGATGAAGGACAGTGTTCTACTTGACGGCATAACTTTAAGCATTCGTCGATTGGACGAAGAGGCAATTAAGTAAGCGTTAGGATTGGTCAATAGGCAGCAGACACTAGACAGTTTGATTGTCCCGCAAGACAACGCTTACTCGCGCAAATAAAGCTGTTCCAAGTAGTTCTCAACCACAAAACGTCTTTTGGATTGACGTGATCCTTACCGACAGAGAATCTTTGTGAGGCAAAGAAGAGTTTTCGATCCAAAACTGAATGTTTAATACATACCTGCAAAAAAACAAATAAAGCTCCAACCACTCACACGTCTACCTGGTAAAATAGATGAGACAAAGAACCGGGCGCATATGTGATAAGGATAAACAAACACCATATATGGGCCAGACTGAGAAAAAAAGCAAATTGGTCGAAAGCCAGACAGAGAATCGGGAAGGACGCTATTACCAAAGCCGAGTCAAATGTGGGGGAAAGTGACTTCATTTGCATCAAACCAACACAATCTCAATTTGGATCATGACCGGGACAACTCAATTCATTAGTAATAAGACCATCAAAATAGGATTTCTAAAATAAACTTCCGAGTGAGTTCATTTCTTGTGGAAGCAGAGCTATTCCAACTTCCTCAAATGTTTAATCGATCCCAAGGAATAGCTTAACAACATATTCAGAGCTCCAGATGGTCTGTCTCCCAATCCGTACATCCGAGTACGGAGTACGAGAGTTTTCCACGTAGCAGAATGACCATTTGCGCAGAAATTTCAAATTCTACTGTAAGACGAACACACAAGCATACTCCCTACTACATTCACTCACCATACACCACCTTTAAAGCTCGGACGATGGAAAATACAGTGATATGCTAAACACAACAACAAATCCTCTCATGGTACAAGAATTTGATCTCCGCCAAACTTACGTTAACAAAGATGGAGCCACCTGTCTCTGACACTCGAATCCCGTCGACAGTGACAAGGGTGGTAGAGGCGGCGGCAAAGGTGGTGGTGGCGGTTGTTGCGTAAGAAGAGGAGAAGGTTCAGGCAATTCACCTCCGCCTCCATTGCCATGGTGATGGTGCTGATGACCGCCGGGTGAGGGCAGGGATTGGTGCGCAGCAGCAGCTACTGCAGCTGCGGCTGCCACGGCAGCAGCGGGATTGGTGAGGCAACGGCGGAGAGGCGGGAGACACTTGCGAATGGCAGTGAGCCAACAAGCGGCTTCGCTGGAGGAGGCCGCCTCAAAGATCTTCTCGTCACCAGATTCAGTCTAGAAGTCAAGAGAGCATGTGTTTTGGCCAGGAATGAACTTGATTTTTATGCTTTTCA